GAATCTTGGCTGGTGTTAATGTAAAAATTGCTCAAGCTGTCAAACAGGGGAGTTGAACAAACAAGAGGGCCCAGCAGTCTTGAAAGCTGCACAAGAGGGTTTTCATCTGTGACCCTTCCTCTACATTTAGAAAAAGCAATAAAAGTGTCCAGTGTTACTTTAAGAGGCAGGAGGAGCTCTATATTCAGAACAAGCACCCTCCAACTCAAGGAGACGGTGCTATCCTGTTCCTATCGTACTTGTAGGGTTTCCATGGGCATTTGGTTGGTCTCTGGGTATTCCCACCTCACTATTTTCAGGTGGGATTAAATTACCACAACAAAACATCCCCCCCTTTTAAAAGGACTTTTAGAGGTAAGGAAGATGTGCTGGATAACATTTGCTTGACCCAGTGTTGTCTAGCCCAGTGTTTCCCAACCTTGGGCCTCCAGCTGTTTTTGAACTACAATTCCCATCATCCCTGACCACTGGTCTTGCTAGCTAGGCATGATGGGAGTTGTAGTCAAAAAACAGCTGGAGGCCCAAGGTTGGGAAACACTGGTCTAGCCTCCTAGCAGGCAAGTTGTAAAGGTACCCCTGCCCGTACGGGCCAGTCTTGTCAGACTCTAGGGTTGTGTGCTCATCTCACTCTATAGGCCGAGAGCCAGCGCTGTCCGCAGACACTTCCGGGTCACGTGGCCAGCGTGACAAGCTGCATCTGGCGAGCCAGCGCAGCACACGGAAACACCGTTTACCTTCCCGCTGGTAAGCGGTCCCTATTTATCTACTTGCACCCGGGGGTGCTTTTGAACTGCTAGGTTGGCAGGCGCTGGGACCAAACGACGGGAGCGCACCCCGCCGCGGGGATTCGAACCGCCGACCATGCGATCGGCAAATCCTAGGCGCTGAGGTTTTACCCACAGCGCCACCCGCGTCCCCTAGCAGGCAAGTTGTAGTGAATGCTAAATAAACAGGTTGTCTGGAAGTGACTTGTGGGAAGAGGACTTGGGAACTAGGCTCCCAAATGTTCTTACATTAGTTATGGCTGCGCTTCATAGAACTGTGGTCTCTTAATGGCCACCGATCTTGAGTGACCAACCAGATGCCCATCATGGGTTTCCTTTTCCTTTTCCTATTTTTTATGTCTTGCTCACAAGTGCAGAATAGGTGTCCCTTTTTCTTTCCGCTGCCTTGTGAGGGGGTATTCCAAGAGGGAAAAAGCTATGGGCAGGATGTGGGCTTTTGTGGCAGTCTGTCCCCTGCAACCCACGATACGGGCACTGAACCCCAGTCCCAGACAGAGCAAGGCGCCATTTTGGAAGAACCACTCTCAGCTTCTCTTGTGTGGTTGGTGGCTGTGTGTGTTACTTCTGTGGCGGAGCCTTTCCTTGCTGGTTGTCAGAATTAAATTTTCGACCACCATACTTGTGGGTCCTTGATTCAGAATTATTATGTTGTCAAATAAAGATGCATGTGATTAACTCTTGTTAAGATGAGGCTATAGGAACTTGGGAAGATAAGCAAGTTGAGAAAGCTGAGATGGTCACTGAAGGCAATGGTGGTCTTCTCCAACCTTCCCCTTTAGGGGTTCAGGTCTTCTCAGAGGGTTCTTGCTATCATATCCTGCTTCTGGCCTTTCCAGAGGCATCTGGAAAAAACCACCTCCTTCCCTGCAGACCATCCTGGGCATTAGGATCAGCTATGGGGCCCTATTGGTAGTTCAACCACCCTCAGAGGTTTGGAGGTCGTGGTGGAAGCCTTTGAGAGGCCCTAGGCTGTGGAATTCCCTCTCTAAAGAGGTCCATCTGACATTTTCAACATATAGTTTAAATTCAGTGTTGCAGATGTACCTCTTTACCCTTGGCCTTGACATCTAATGGACGTGTTTTAAGACCCACCCTGTTATTGTGACTGTAAGTTGTTTTAAACTATTCTTAATGCTGATTTTTGAAATTGCTGTAAGCTGCCTTGGGACCTGGTGGTGGGTAGGTCTCTCGCTTTTTGTGGAAGCACATGGAAACAACACCGGCGTCTCTCCCTCCCTCCCCAAATCTGCTTTGTCCAGATAAAGCAAAGAACATCAGCAGAAGTAATTTGGGATTTCCTTGTAGGATGGAGGTGGGGTGGGGGTGGTACTCTAATCCCACCAGCTAAATGCACATGTAATGCCATATATACACGTCCAAGCCTATTCTGTTTGTCTGTTGTCTGGATGAATCAAACCCCAGCAGATGTTCAACAAAAGGGCCATATTCCCCCAGACGGGTCCAGCATCCTGCTTGGGGGATCTGTGATGTCATCGCGGAACAAATGGGAGGTGGGGAATGGGCGGGCAGGATATGGCTGGTGGTGAGGAGGAAGAAGAGAAGAGGGTAATTGGAGCAGCCTGGCAGGTCTGCCCACAGCTGGGGTTGAATAGGAACCTACTTGTGTAGGGGCCTAATCTCCGGATCCTCCACCTGTTCCCTTGCAAACAGCATCTGGAAAGTCACTTTAGTGGGTGCAGCCAATTTCCCTTTCTTGGGCTTGATAGAAACAGCAGCCTCTGTGTGTGCATCTTGGAGGAAACACAGCTGCTGTTTCCCCTGTCCTTCCAGACTTTAAAAATAAGAATAAAAGACCCGGGCCAAGATAGGCCTGGGGAAAAGCCAATTATGTGACTCACAGAAAGGATTCCTACAATTCACCTGTGAATTTTTGATAAATTTTATGTCTACTTCTTTTTCGAGTTTGATCTTATCGGCATTTTATTATGAATATTTTATATTGTTCTATGTAAACTGCTTAAAGGTGGGTTTTTTTGCTGATTAAGGGGTATATGCATCTTGATGGGAAAATAAAGAAATGTGCCAGTCTCTGGGAAATGGAACAAGGGAGAAGATACTCCCCCCCTTTTTTTTAAAGGGGAAACTAGTCTTCAGTATAATATAGGGGAAGCAGTTGTGTGTTTTTTAGTGTAATATAGAATTCCTCACATGGGGATGGTTTGAGGGTGGGATGGGATACAGGGTGTGTGGCTGAGTTAGAAAGTCTTACTGGCTTCTTGCATAAGGTGGAAGCCTCTTCCAGCTGAAGAGACACACTATCATGAACTGGGAAACATTCATAAAGGAAGTGTACTCTGCACATGCTCTGAGGTACTTTGCTCGTATTAGGATGGTGATGATTATACACTCTCTTTTTTCCCTTTCCACACTGGCAGCTCTTTGATGCTCAAGGGGTACATTTGTAAGCTGGTTTTATACCAATTTCAACTGCCATGGCTTCCCTCAAAGAATCCTGAGGCTTTCTGTGTAGCCAAGGTGCTGAATATTTGGCAAAGGATCCTGAATAGTTTCCTAGAGAGGCAGAAATGACTATTGAACCAGTTTAAAGACTTTCGGGGGTAAATATGGAATGACCTCTCCAGGAGTCTCCAGGGGAGAGGCCTTCGGAGACCAGCCATCCTCCCTGTTGCCAAGCAACCAGTACAGTCAATGGGAAATCCACATAAACTTATTGATACTTGGAGGGGACTGTGGGGGATTCTTTTCTAATTTGTTTTAGTGATGTGAAAATGCCTCTTTAAAGACAATGCTTGCTACCTGTAGTTTTTAAAAGCACTTGTATTCTTTTTTTTAAAAAAAATTAATCCTGTCTGTTTGTGGTTAATCTTTTTTTAAAAAAGTTTTTATTGCTATAATCCAGAACTGTGGGTGCTGTGGACCCCCAAATATTGGTGGACTTCAATTATCTCTGACCATTGGCCATACTCCTTAGGGTCCTATCTGCGTTATACATTTAAAACGGTATCGTACCACTTCAAACGGTCGCACCTTTCACACAAGGATATTGGGGAACTATAGTTCGTAGTGCCGAGTGTTGTTAGGGAACCGCTATTCCTCTCAGAGAGGTACAATTCCCAGAATTCATTGGGAAAATGGGTGTGAACTGTGGTAAAAGTATGATAACATATTATAGGAAAAAGAACAATTTCTCCTTTGCTTTTAAGTGGGTGTGGTACAGATGTGAAATATTGCAGGGTATGTGAGTTGTACTCTTTTTTTTTTGGAGGGAGGGTGGAATGCTATTGCCAATTTATTATATGGTTAGTATTCAGAAAATTAATGGTAGGGGTTTTAATTATACAAATATTCAGTTCATTAAGTGGTTAGATTTGATGTGTGAGAAAAGCAGTCAACCGTTCTAAAGAGAAAAGCTGTACTTTCTTTTTTAGATCATGTGTGTAGGTGTCACGCCTGGTGTCTCAGAAGGGTTAGTCCCTTTTATGTCCCAGGAGGCAAAGCTTCTTCTAAAATGAACCTGTGGGGTCTCCCCCCCCCTTTTTTTTTTTTGAAAATGGCTCAAAAATGGGCAATCAAAATGATTAAGAGGATGGGTGCTTCTGAATACCAGTTGCTGGGAACCCCAGGAGGGGAGAATGTTGTTACACTCATGTCCTGCTTCTAGCATCCAGATTATTATATTCTTATAAATACTTGTATTTTATTTTTATTTTTTAAAAAATGTTTCTCAGAAATGTAACCATTTAACCAACTAGATGTTGCAGCCGCTGATGCTTAACATTGGGTGAAGAGCTTGCAAGGAAGGGAGACTAAAATTGTCTTGCAAATATTATGGGCTTTTGCTTGCTAGAAAATTCACAGCATGGGCATTGCATTCCTTCTTTCTCTTGCTGGAGGTCCAAAAAAGAATACAGTGGACCCTCCGGATACGAACTTAATTCGTTCCGGGGGTCCGTTTGCACCCTGAAAATAATGTAAATAGAGGCGTGCTTCTGCGCATGGCATGATTGAGCACTTCTGCGCGTGCGCATGCAGTGAAACCTGAAGTATACGTTTCCAGGTTTGCCGTGGCCATAACCCGAAGATTCCATATCCAGAGGGATATGTAAGTAAAGGTACGACTGTATATTTTCCCAGAGAGGATTGGAAAGGGAGGACAAAAATTGCTCTCCCTAGAAAGCAGCTGAGGTGTTGCCTGGAGTTCTTACCTCAAATGTTCCCCCCCCTTTCTCTCAGGAGGAGCGGATAGCAATGTGGCAGTCTATATGCCGGATTTGGTGGAGGCAAAGCTTGGGGATACAGCCATTATCAAATGTGAATTCGCCCTCCCAGAGAATGGCAGCTACGTTTACGTCAACTGGTACTCGGTGAGTCAAAAGAGGGTTTGGGAAAGGTTGCTTTGGGGAGAGGGTTGGGGAGAGGGAATGGAGAAACACCATAGTCCCCTCCTTAACTTGTGGAGGCAAGAAGTGCATAGCGGGCCAGGGACATGCTCTCTACCCTTGTTCCCAACTTCCCTGTGTGCATGGGCTCCTCTCCTGACCTTCTCCTGTTGAGTGTGGAAAGTTGAAGAGGGCTTCTAAGTGCATTCTGCTTAGAGAACCTGCTTAGAACCATCCCCGCAGCCTGGAACTCTGCACTATCAGGGCTCAGAATTATGAGGAGGCTTTGAAGTGCATTCAGCTGAACATGCGTAGAAAGCCCCTTTTGATGCAGTGTGTTAAGGTTGGGGATAGGGCAGCTGTCGGACCCAGCATGTTGTGGTGCCAGTGCATGGGCACCTAGCTCCTTACACACCTTTTTTCTTGAGTATTTTAAACTGAACACCTAAAGAGGACGTGTGTCCTTGTGCTTTCATTGGGCTCAACCAGAGTTGAAAGTGAATGGAAGCTTTTGAGTGATGCAGAGCTATTTGTCACTCTGGAGGAACACTGGGAATCATGGAATCATAGGATTATAGAATTGGAAGGGACCACGAGGGTCATCTTGTCCCAACCCCCTGCAATGCAGGAATCTTTTGCTAAACATGGGGCTTGAACCCACAATCTGCAGTTAGCCCCTTCACATTCCATTGTGCTTGTCCACTTTGTCCAAAGCTTGATCTTGTGCATTAATCATATTCCCCTCTCCCCTCGTTTCCCTTTTAAATCCCATTTTTCAGCAATCCTTTGTTGTGTCTCACTGAAATCTCTCATTCTCTGCTTGCACCAGGTTCCCCTCTACCCCCACCCTCACTGCCTTTTTATTAGTTCTTACCTCTCCTGCCAACCCTATGTCTCTAGCCTTACAGCATAATTCCTTTGGGCTGAGGTCTTTACTGTGTTAAGCTGAATGTGGAAAAACTCAGGATAGACAAAAGGAAGTACTTGACACTGTACATAGTTAAACTATGGAATTTGCTGTGACAGGATATAGTGATTACTGCCAACTTCGGGCAGTTTTAAAAGGGGATTAGAATATTCACAGAGGACAAGAATATCGTAACTCCTATATCAGAGGCAGATTGCCCTTTGACTACCACTTGCTGGCGAGCACATGTGGGAATGAACTGTTGCACGCATATCTGCTTTGTGGGCTTCCCATAAACATTCAGTTGGCCACAGTGGGAACAGAATGCTGGACTAGGTGGGCCTTTACTCTGATCCAGCAGGACTAAGTTCTTATAGGCTTTCCCACACTGCCATCGTGTGGCAAATCACCCACTGGGCAGTCCCTCTAGGAGGAGAAAGCTCCTCCACCGTGACCTAACCCTGTTTCAAAGAAACTTCAGTAAACCAAATTTGGGGTTTATTTGAATGAAGGCATTCTATAACTGTAGGCACCAGGGAACATTTCATTCTAACACTTAGACATTTTAAATACTGGTGAATTTTTAAGTAAACTTTCATAATTGGCTAGATTTGCACCACTTGTGTGTTGCATTTATCAAAACTCTTTAACTGAATGCAGTGCACAAAGCAACCGTGTTGAAGGCACAATAATAGTAAAAACCTATGAATGGAAGTAAGTCCTGCTCAATGGGACTTAGTCCCATAGGATTGTGGCCTAAAAAATTCCAGGGTTTTTTAAAAATAGGGGCAGCTGTAAAGCGCATCCTAATGAATTTGTGCAATGGAGTGTTGGTAGCTAAAATTGAAAGTGATTTATTGTGAGTTTCTTTTCTTTTTAAATAGATGGCACATTTTGCTCTTCAGTATATCTCTTTCATTCATTCATTCGTTCGTTCGTTCGTTCGTTCGTTCTTTCTTTCTTTCTTATTTATTTATTTATTTATTTATTATTTCACAAAAATTATGTATCACTTGATTGTAAGAAAACCAAAGTGGTTTACAAAAATATAAAAGCATTAAAATTCTCAGTAAAGCACATTTAAAGGCACTTAAAAATATTCAGAATGTCCCTTCTGAACATCAGTGTAACAGAGAGAGCATGCAGACATTAAGGAAAACGAGATCAAGGGGAGGCTGTTTGTGGCAGGAGCAATCTATGCACTACGCTTATTGGTTGGAAACTTGTGACATCAGAAACAAACCCACGCTTCCTGGTCCATTCATAAATGGACTGAATGATCTTTTAAATGTGTAAAAGCATAGGCAGCTGTTTAAACAGCAGCAACAGTAGAAGTTGAGCTTCATTCACAGAAAGCGTCAAACTGGAAAAAATGCTTCAAACTCCTCCTGCATGTTATCAACCTTCCATGCTTCTCCCAGCCATTTGCAGGCTTGGATGTCCCTGTGCTCCTAAACAGCACCTAGACTTCTTTTACTTTCAGAAGGCAGGACTCTTAACCCTTCCTGGCCTTCTCCACCCATGGGCAGCTGTCAAGTCCTGTTGCCACAGGTGCTTCTCTCTCTTCAAACACTCATCCTCTCCTTACTTGGCCTTGGCCACTGGCAGTAGGGCATGCATGACCTTGGATGGGAGGGTCAGGTTTTGCACTGTGGCATTGTAGTGCATGCTATCTCTCTCTCCCTGATGTTCTAGATGGAGAAGGGCAAAATGGAAAGGAAGAAGCTCATCTACATGGTCCAGGGCAAAGAACACCAAGATGAGCCTCCCAATGACCGGTTAAGCATCACACCTGATTTCTTCCTCAAGATTAACAAGGTGGTCCTGCAGGATGCCAAGAATTACGTGTGCCAGGTGGGGTTCGGCATGCACGGCGTCGCTGAGAATCGGAGTGAACTGCGCGTCTCCAGTGAGTGGTTCTGGGGGCCCTTATCCTACAACAGGTGCAATAACACAGTGTTTTTGCAATCCAGACCTTCCTCGGATTGCATACCTTGCTGGATTGCAGGTGGGGCATGTGCTTAACTGTCCACAGGCAACCACACAGCACCCCCTTCATCCCAACTAGATTTGTTGTTAGTCACTGGGAGGCACATCCTGTGGTTGCTTCGCCACTGTGGTCCCCTGAACCTCACAGAATGGCCGTGCGCCTGATGTGTCGCTGCACCAAGCTTTTCTTCTTTTTAATGCCCCCTCTGCCCCTGTTATCATGACACTTTTTCTGCGCTTTTGGCCCTTGTTCGTGCCACAGTCATGGGTTGGTTTGACATTTGTATCCCACCTTCCTCCCATAAGGGAACCCAAGGTGTAGTGCACATTTGGTTCCCACATACTGATCAGACTCGGGTCTCCTTACATTTAGAAAGGTGGCTGCTTCAAAGCGGCTTCAGAACACACCCTGGGACCCAAACTTTGTTCTTCTGCAGTTTGGTGGCAACCTTTTGCACTGGGGAGGCTGGGTTTTAACCCACTTGCGCTAATATTTATAGAGGTCAGCCTTGTAAATAAGCCCACAACAGTTGCTGGTCCATAATTCTTGTTTATTTCATGGTGACCATGGAAGAAGGGAAAGACCCTTCCTTTGCACCTAGCATGGAAATGCAGACCTTAAGCCAGGCTAGTAAAATAATTGCCTTCTGCCACGCCGCCTAGCAGAGGAGGAACACAGTGAGCCATCCCTCCTTCCTCCAGACCAGTATGGAAACTGGGTGGGCTAGCAGAAGAGGTACAAACAACCCATCTCTCCTCTACCTCTTGAGTCACTAAATGCAAGGCTCGAGATCAGTCCTTCCATTCCCATGACACTGCCAAGAAGAGGAGAACAGGACCCAAGGAGTTTACATCTCTAAGTCCAACACTGGGGCAGGGGAGGGAGAAGTGACCAGAGGATGATATATGGTTATTTCAGTTAACAGACTTAAGCTTGGTTACAATAGAATATGGGGTCTGCCAAGGTTGGTTTTGAGGAGAGATTTGAAGGAAGTAAGAGAGGTGGACTTGTGCAGGTTGTATTGGAGTCTGTTCCAGGCTTATGGTCAAGAAGGGGAGAAAGAGTGAAGCCTTTTGAAGAGGGAAAATACCTTTGAATGGTGGTGTAGCCAGAGGAACGAAGGTCATTGATGGGGGTGAGTTAGGATATGAGAGAAGAGAGTTGATGGGGCACTGAAGGTAAGGGGGCTTATTGTGTGTCCATTTTGCCCATGGGGCTTATTGCACAGTAAGAGGACATGCCCAGCAGAGTCTAGGCTGTGGTTGTTTTATTCCCTTCTGCCTCACCACTTAGCCCTGCCTGGTTACTTTCTTCTTTTAGAAGCTCCAGAGAAACCTGAGATTCAGAGGACTAATCGTGGCATCAGCACAGGAGACCCTCATTTGAGTGAGGTAAGAACTGTGCCGTGTTTAGTGCACCTGCAATTATTATTATTAGTCACCTGCCCTTTACCATAAGGTCCCAAATTAATATACAACAGTTTAAAACTTGCAAGTAGGGAGGGAGATAGTCTTTTACCTATTTGGGTCCTGAGTTGTTTAAAGTTTTATATGTGAGCACTTTGAATTGGGCCTGGAAACAACCAGGCAATTGCACTTCACAAAGTTGGATTTGGTATCTGCCACAGAATTCTGCATCCCTGGCCTTCTCTGCTTATTATTTTTTTTAAAAAAAAATATACACTTTGCAGGTTTGTAGTTATTTTGGTCCAGCGGGCAAGTTTGTAAAAGTTGAGATGTCTCCAAAACTATATGGGTTCTGAGTAGGATTACCAGTGGTCAGTAAAGGGTTTGGGCTTCCTTGCTCTTGTTTGGGCACAAAGTAGAGAGCCTTGGCTATGTGGGGGTCTGCAGACAGTAGAAGTATTCCTTGAATCACACTCAAACCAGGCTAAACCTAGAGTAAGGTTACCAGATTGTTTTCAATGAATCCAGGGACACTTTTCAACTTCAACTGATTTTGTATGGGGACTGATTTGTAAATCTGGGGACTGTCCCTGGGAAACGGGGACATCTGGTAACCTTAACCTAGAGGCAAATCCTTTGTCTCATCTAGCAGTGGAATGGAAAGGGAGAGGGAGTGGCAGTGCACTGAGACTCCACACACTGACCACCTAAAGCCCAGGCCAGAGTTCCCTTTGCCTGACAGTTTGTACGTCCAAGTTTTTCTCTCCAGCCAGGAGGGCCAAAAGCCTAACATTCTCAAGAGAGCCAAATTTGACTATTGCTAGCAGTAAGGGGAATGTTGCAGTAAAGACTATTTTTTTGCTGAAGCAGCAAGAAGGTAATTTTAGCACTGAAAAATCACTAGGCTTACAACATGAAATGGTACACAGTGGGATATTAGAGACTTTGCACAGCCCACAGCTATCAAGATATCGTAAAGGAGACTATGAGCCGACTGCCCAGCCTTGATTTATGGAAGTGATGTTTTGTTGCACTAGCCTGAAGCCTTTTTATGTAATCTGGTCTGGATCTCGAATGAAACAAGATAAATCAGTCTGGGATTTGAACCCGTGGACTATAAGCTCTGAAGAGTATGGAGTGTTTGAGTCTGTCTGTGTCTTTCAGATTGCAACCTGCACCAGCCGCAATGGCTATCCAACACCAACCCTCACTTGGTACAAGGATGGAGTCCCTCTGAAGATGGATGGGAATGGTGAGTCATTAGCAGGTGAAGCTAAATCTATTAAAGCAGACTTGGAGGCATAGAAAAGCCGGGTACAGTCCAGAAGCTTATTACAAGGCAAGGGTTAGCAGGAATTAAGCCCAGTCTAGGCACAAGGGCCCAGGGTTCACAAGTCGAAGATGCATATTAAGAATTCCAATGTGGCACAGGAGCTGTGATGTTGTTCTATCAAGTTTCCCTGCCTACCCAGCATGCTTTTAAGCAGAGGCAAAGATGGCCAGCTACTCCTCACGAGAAGCCCTGTTCCTATGGGGGCTCCAAGCTGCTGCCTTTGGAGGGACGTGCCTCCTCTTTTTTTCTGGAGTTGCCATTGTCATCTTCTTGCTCCAGTGCCTGCAGTTCCTGGTCTGAATCAGAGTCCTTCAAGGGAACTGTGACAATAGGCCATGGTGCCCCAAAATGCAGAGTCTTGGCTGCAGAACAGTATGAGTAATGATGGGTGAATAGTACAAGTTGGGGCAGCTCAGCAGGGGAAGGAAGGGCTGATTTCATGGATCGGCATCTCCATCACCCATCCTCTGGTGTCATTGGCAGCTCCCTCCATCCTCGGCCTCTGGAGGAAGTGACTTAATTATCCTTAATTATGTTGGGCGGACTGTAATCGTAAGCTGCCATGGGAGTTGATCTTGCCTGTAAAGTGGGTTATAATATGTTAAATGATACAATATGGGGCATCAAAGCTCATGGGAAAAGCAAAACATCAGGGCTACAGATCTGTGAATCGTTAGCACAGGGGTCAGCAATCTTTTTCAGCCGTGGGCCGGTCCACCATCCCTCAGACCATGTGGTGGGCCGGACTAGTGAAGAAAAAAAATGAACAAATTCCTATGCCCCACAAATAACCCAGAGATGCATTTTAAATAAAAGCACACATTCTACTCATGTAAAAACACCAGGCAGGCCCCACAAATAACCCAGAGGTGCATTTTAAATAAAAGGACACATTCTACTCATGTAAAAACATGCTGATTCCCGGACTGTCTGCAGGCCAGATTTAGAAGGTGATTGGGCCACATCCGGCCCCTGGGCCTTAGGTTGCCTACCCCTGCATTAGCACATGCCAGTATATTGAGTTTGCAGTAAGGGTTGTCTTAGCTGGAGAAACAAGGCCAGGTGACCTTTGCAGCAGCATAAACTGCTCCTTAGCAGAGTAACATGTAAGGTTTGTAGCTGCTCTTCAGAATAGTCTTCTACTTGACCCTTCCTCCAGAGGGTTTTCACCCATGCACACTTTTCTCAAATGAAATGCTCTTCCTGCAGCTCTCCTCTCTTCCTCTTTCAATCAGAAATTGAGATCCGTCCCGGCCTCATCAAGGAATCAAGTGGCCTGTGGACTGTCCGCAGCACCCTTTCGGCAAAAGTCACCAAAGAAGACCGCAGTGCTGAGTTCTACTGCCAAGTCAGTTACACCCTGATGGGGAATAACAAGACATCCAAGTCGGACAGCTTCAAAGTCGACGTTCATTGTAAGGCTGGGCTGAGCTGAGCTCCTTTTAGCAGCACTGAGCACATTCGTTGGGAGGTCTAAGAAAGGAGATTCTGCCTCGTCTGCTGAGAGAAGACTGAGCCTCATGCAGAAGTGCAACTAGGGCTGGACTTTGGGGCCAAAACCCAGGACCCCACAGCCCAAGGGACCTTGAGGACCAACCAGTACATTAAGGGGAGCTACATGGGTGCTGTTATTGGGGGGAAACACATGACATGTATTGGGCGGTATATAAATTTTAATAATAATCATAATCAAATCATAAAAAATTGGTGTGGCAGTCCCCTCCTCCTTGCCCCTCCCAGCAGTTCTTTATCTCTTTATAAATTATTTGGATTAAGGAATTTAGGAGATGCTCATCCAACTTGCAGATGTCACCAAACTAGGAGGGGTAGCTAATGCCACAGAAGACAGAATTGGGATTCAATATGAACTTGATGGATTCGAGATCTGGGCCAGAACTAAAAAAATGAATTTCAATAGGGGCAAGTGTAAGGTTCTGCAGTGTGATGCAGCAGCAAAAAATAATAATAAAATAAAATAAAAAATATTCTAGGCTTCATCAACAGAAGGAAAGTATCCCAATCAAGGGAAGTAATAGTGCTGCTCTATTTTGCCTTGGTCAGACCACATCTAGAATACTGTGTCCAGTTGTGGGTGCCACAATATTAAGAAGGATATTGACAAGCTAGAACATATGCAGAGGAGGGAGACCAAGATGATCAAGGGTCTGGAAACCGAGTGTCTTATGAGGAACAGTTGAGGGAATTGGGTTTGTTTAGCCTGGAAAAGAGGGCTGTCACATGGAGGAGGAAGCAAGCTTTCTTTCTCCTGCTCCAGAGGCTAGGACCTGAACCAATGGTTTCAAGTTACAAGAAAAAAGAGTCCCAACTGAACATCAGGAAGAACATTCTAGCAGTATGAGCTTCTTTAGACAGTGGAACAGATCTCCATGAAAGGTGGTGGTGGACTCTCCATCCTTGGGAGGCTCTAAAGCAGAGGTTAGGTGGCCATCTGCCATGGACGCTTTAGTTGAGATTCCTGCCTTGCAGGGGATTGGATGGGAAGCCCCACTTCCAGCTCTTAGGATTCTTTGATCTGCTGTGTCTCCCAGGTTTCTCTGCCTGCGCTTATTAGAAGCACCGGAAGGTGAATCAAGCTTCTTTTTTCCTCTGCCCCTCTCTGTAGACCCCTCTGAGAGTCTCCGCTTCGTGATTGATGCTCCAGGCCCGGATGTGAAGGAGGGAGATAATGTGACCCTGCGCTGTGAAGCGGATGGGAATCCGCCACCTCTGTATACTTTGTACAGAATGGAGGTGAGCTTGCAGCACAGAGGAAGGTGCCGTATACCAAGCCACAGACCCTAAGTCCATCTACCTTAGTGCTGTCTACCACACTGGTCTTCAGCTGAGGGGTCATCCCCTGATTCAAGGCGGGTTGCAACAGAAGCACTACCACCATGCAGATATAAAGTACAAGATGAAGAGATGGGATCCCGAATGCATGTTTGAGTTAAAAAATCAACACTGGTAAAAAATAATCAGAAACCTAAAAGAGACAGGCCATCAAATATCTGGGAGGGGCAGCAGGAAAATGTAACCCTGTCCTGAAAAGATAGATAGGATGTTGGTGACTGGGTCTCTTGGCTGGGCAGTATTTCCTCCTTGTTGTCATCAGCGTGCAGGTTCAGCCTTTGTCCTCCTTTGTCTTGCACTCTGCTAGGAGGAGGAAGTCTCCGAACAGGGTTCTGAACAGGGGTTCCTGCACCTTTACAACATCAACAAGGAGCGCAGCGGGGTCTACCTGTGCAAAGTGCTTGACCTGCAGGATGTTACGCTTGAGGAGCTGACGGCCAACGTGACTCTGCTGGTGAACTGTGAGTAGGACCTGCAGGTTTTATTCAGTACAAAGTGGCCTGTTGGGTTTTCATTAGAGCTGTCATCCGGTTTTGAGAAATCTTAGCTGGCTGTTCTCAGGAGCGTCAGTTGATTGGTTTAAAACTGCATGAATGTGGGGATGGGAAGCTGGCTTCCTTGCTTTTGAATATGGCATTCACAGGAATCTTCTTGGGAGAGGTGGCTTTTGTTTTGACATCTGCCTTACAATCCAGGCACAGTGCTAAAATAATTAAGACGTTTTTCACAACATGCCAGCCAATCTATGGACTAAACCTTGCACCCATAGTTGTCAGAGAACCCAGAATTTCATCAGTATGAGGGATGTGTGAGGGCCAAGCAGACGCACTGGAGGCAGTGAGAGACAGGCAGTGGATATACTCCTATTTGCCCAGCAAAGCTTCAGCAAAGCCTTTGTGGATGTTCTGAGCTGTTCTGTTTGTCAGAATGATGTGGCTCTTCAGGTTTTGATTCCCAGGCAGATGTAACTGCCTGAGAGAAATAGGTGCTGCTCCACAGTGCATAAAGAATGGGGTGAAGTGAAGGAATCTCATCTGTGTTGCCTCAAGTATATGATTTCTCTCCCTTAGATCTTGATGAGCCTGTGATAACCTCTGTGCCTCCAGTGACCTCGCTCAGACAGCTGCAGGAAGGAGAGGATGCGCTTCTTACCTGTAATGCAACAGGCTCCAAGCCCTTGGCATTCCACTGGGAAAAGGTATTCTCATTTTAGGGCTGTTGACTTGAGTTAATGGTGTATTAGACTGCAATCCAAAAACACTTACTTTTCAGTAAGCCACATTGAAGTCCCACTGCACACAATGTAAACATGCACACAGGTGCTCTGTTAGCTGGTTATCTGTCTGGCTGTTGACCAGTTGGTAAACCAATACAATGGATTCTTGGTTCTCGAACGTAATCCATTCCGGAAGTCTGTTCGACTCCCGAAATGTTAAAAAACCAAGGCGTGGCTTCCGATTGGTGCAGGTGCCCTGGAAACAATAGCTGACAGCCACATCGGATGTTAGGCTTCTGAAAAGCGTTCGAAAACCGGAACACTTCTGGGTTTTCGGCGTTTGGGAGCCAATTTGTTCGTCAAATAAGCCATTTCAAGAACCAAGGCTCCACTGTATATTTCACATCTGACAACCAATGCACCCCTTGTGGGGCAGATAGTACATGGGTATACAAGTCTAAAAAGCCCAGGACACAAATTTCCACAGCCCTCTAGCAGCTATATGGCTCATTTACCAGAAGTACAGTGGTACCTCAGGTTAAGAACTTAATTCGTTCCAGAGGTCTGTTCTTAACCTGAAACTGTTCTTAACCTGAAGCAACACTTTAGCTAATGGGGTCTCCTGCTGCTGCCGCTGCGCGATTGCTGTTTTCATCCTAAAGCAAAGTTCTTAACCCAAGGTACTATATCTGGGTTAGCGGAGTCTGTAACCTGAAGCGTCTGTAACCTGAAGCATCTGTAACCTGAGGTGCCACTGTAATGTAATTAGCATTAACTCTGAAAGTATCTACTTGATTCTGACCAAACTAAACCGCCCGATGTATATTGTGCTTTTCCAGAAAGGGAGGGTGATTGAGAAGGGGAATCTTCTGAACTTGACCAACGTCGGCTTCGACACCTCAGGCAAATACACCTGTGTTGTAGAGATGCCGATGCCAGGCACCCCTGCCGTTTCCCGCTCCAAACAGGTTCAAGTGACCGTCCATGGTAGGCATCACACAGCGACAGCTCTCTCTAAGTATCTTTCCCCCCATCCCAGTCCTGGGTGCTGGGGCAGCAACAACAATTAGCCACCTCTTCTCCTTGCAGCAAAACCAGTGCTGGTCGCACGGAAGGAAGTGGTGCATGTCCAATCAGGCGAGATGGTGAACTTAACGTGCACCGGGTACTCGACACCCCCCTTGCTAATCTCATGGAGTGTCAATGGATCGGTAAGATGTGCTCTTTGTGGGGTTTATTTCAAAGAAATAAATGGAGAACTGTGAAGCGAGGAGGCCCCGATTCAAATCTCACCTCATCAACAATTCACTTGGTGCACTTGCTTAAGCCACTGCTGTCTACCTCACTCCCCCCAATAATATAAAATGATATAATAATAGTGGTCAACCTCGCAGGGTTATTTGTAAGACTTTACGGGATGTGAATGCTTTATGAAACATGCTGCAGAAGGCAATAATATTTAACAAATGTTCCATATTTTTCAAGTCTGAAGACTGTTTCAACAAAGTATAATGTGTCTTTCCCCCATTCGATATGCTTTAGTCTGCAGGGATGGGGAACTTGTGTCCTTCCAAATATTGTTGATTTGCGACTCCTCTCATCCCTGACTTGGCCATTGAACTCCCTTCAGCCCCAGCCAGCATGGGCAATGGTCAGAGATGATGAGAGTTGCAGAGCAGCAATATCTGGAGGGACACAGTGCTTGCTGCCCTGTTTTGGGTTGTTTTGTTTTAAATTCTCCTTAGGAGCGTTAATCCTCCCTCCCTTTTCTTTCCACAGGTCTTTACTTCAGTCATGCAGGGTCATCAGCGCAACAGCACAGTCCTGTTCCAAGTCACTGAAGCCCTTCTAGAATCGGGAGTCAACTGCACCGCCAAAAACAGGATGGGCACCACTCAGCACCACTTCATGCTGGCACAGAGTAAGTCCATCCCTTTTGTCTTGAGAAGAGGGCTCATCCACACTTCCCGCTTGTCCCGCTCTTTAGGACTGAATCAGAGCAAACTTCAATTCACGGGAAACCCAATGGACGTTTGCTCTGATTCCGCAGTAAAGATCGGATTTCTGCGGGGGAAAGCGGCGAGCCAAGCGAAAGCCTGAATGAGCACAGAATGTGTTGGTGGTGATGGGTACATTTGCCCTTCTGGGAAGGGCTGGGGCTGGGGAAATAATGGTACCCTCCAACGTTTTTTCTCCCAGCACCAGAAGCAAGTATGCCAAGGTGCAACAGTCTATCAGGCCCAGAAAGTGGTTTGAAGTAAAGCTGTGTTGAAAATGTCACTCCACTTTCATGAGCATATGCTGAGTCAGACTTCTGGTCCATCTAGCTTAGTATTTCCTCTACACCAACAGTTCCCAAGCTTTTTTTGACCATGCCCCACCTAAGCATCTCTAAAATCCAGGTGCCACCCCCCGGTGACATATAACCCTTATTATTCAAAAAGTGAACTATTCACGTGGAGGAAGCCTAAAAGGCCATTAACTGTTAATAAGTCATTCTCAAATTGCCCCCCTTAAAAATCAAATTGCCCCCCTGTGGGGCGTGTGCCCCACGTTGGGAACCACGGCTCTACACTGAGTGTCATTTTATGTGACTATCGCTGTTCAGTGAGAGGCTGTGGTTATTTCCCATGACCTGGTGTAAATGGGAATCCTGAGAGGGGGTGTGGACTTGCATCTTCCGACAACAACACCCTGAAACTCCTATACAGTGGTACCTCGGGTTACATACACTTCAGGTTACATACGCTTCAGGTTACAGGCTCCGCTAACCCAGAAATAGTACCTCGGGTTAAGAACTTTGCTTCAGGATGAGAACAGAAATCGTGCTCCAGTGGCAGCGGGAGGCCCCATTAGCTAAAGCGGTGCTTCAGGTTAAGAACAGTTTCAGGTTAAGAACGTAACTCTGGAACGAATTCAGTACTTAACCCGAGGTACCACTGTACACCATGCTGAGTTCTCTCTTCGTCGGTTTCAGATGAATCCAGTGGCTGTGTCAGCCCCACCCCACTTCCTTACACAGCAAGGCAGGCAACCTGTGACGAACCAGTCCACTTCCAGCTTGTATTTATTCCTCTTTCTTTTCTTTCTTCAGGGCAAGAAGGAAGATCTCCCAATGCCAAGACTGGTAAGCCCCTCCTTACCGAGCATTTATGACTGTCAAACGGACGTGAATGTGCTGTCAATGTTCTGGGAGCTAACCCACAGAAGATGACTTGGGCTTTGCAGGAAGGAGGAAACTGGGGAGGGTGTGAGTGTCCTGAAGGTGAACAAGGAGGGCTACTTGCAGGACCAGGCATCTGACTTCCCATACCCCAACCCATATAAATAAGAGACCAATGAGACTGGGGTTTTGGGTAAAAACAGGCCACAACTTTATTGAATACAGAAGAAAGAGGTTTGGTTTGGGCATGGGGCAATCTAAATACTTCTGGCCCGCCTGGTGGGAGTGACGCGTGGTCAGTCCAGGCGGGGGTTCCAAAACTTACATCCAATAGTGTGACCCCCGCAGGGACTGCTGTGGGGGAGTGCCTTTGGCCCTGGCCCCTCTGGGCATGTAGACATGGCTACTCCCCCCGAATCCCTTTAACAGCATTCCCCGGCGTTTGGAGGGGCAGGCAGGGACTACAACCTCCCCTCCGTCCAAAACAAGGGATTGTCCCAATGCCCAGCCAGTTGTGATGAATTGCTATGTGGTAGGCAAAACCACCGGGTAAGAGCCAATAATCCCGGTGGGCAAATTCCTACCCGGCCCCATAAAGAACAGTGATCACCATAGTCACAGCAAAGTCATTGCCTATCAGTGTAAACCATGGGTGAGTGGGATGGGGAAACCTGGCGCAGGAGCAAACGGGCTGTGTCCCAAGTGTGGGCTGCTTAAATGGGCTGGGGGTGGATCTGAGGGAAGCCCACTGTCAGCTCAATTGGCTCTGCTCCCAGCACAGGCCACCTCCCAGCCTGCATTCCCATTTGCCAATACAGGATGCAGGCTAGGATCTGGCTCCTTATAGGTGGCGGGGGCTTATGCCCTCACCGCCTATCAGGAAGGGCACTGACGTTTGAATTCCACCGTCGGAGCCCAAGCTGCTGCACCAAGAGAGGTGAGCGGACTTTCTGAAACCCAGCAAAGATGAGCCTGGTTGGTGCCTAGATGGGCAATTTGCTTGAGAACCCCATGTAGCGCTGCCGCCATCTCATTTGTTCTATCCTAAAAGAAAGGTGGGATCCGTTCTGAGTAAGTAAAATACATGAAATGTGAGAGGAGAGGAAGAGGAGTGCCTATCTGCTCGGCTCCCTTTGCCCTTGCAGAAAGTTATGCTGGGTGTCAGGAGAGGGGTGATAATATTTGGTCACCACCCTCTGAAGGCTTGAGGGAGACTGTACCGGATGCCAACCTTTGCACCTTATAGCCCTGAACTCCTTAAAAAGATTATTATTGTTTTATTAATTTATGAACTGCCTTTCACATAAGCCCAAAATGATTTGCAGTCATAAAAACAACTAAATTAAGTTTTTGAAAAAAACACAAAACCCCAGTAAAGATCAGTTTTAGAACAATGAAAACAACCACCCATCCAGTTGGAAAAACATATCAAAACAAAAATATATTCCATCGTTTCTGGAAATTGCAAATAGTAGTCTGTCATAACACTCATTCATTGTCTTTATCTCTAGCAAAATCTTTTAAAGAGGTCTACTTTTTCTTTTCTTAAACAAGGAAGTCTTAAAATTTGTATCGTCTCCTAATCTTGGAGAGAAGAGAATTTGGGGAGGGGGTTTGGTTTCTGCCTGCCTGCCATTCTGTTTCTTGGGGCTTAGAGAGGTATGTGGCAGCGGGAGGTGCTTCTGGTTAACCATTTTGGGAAAGGGATGCTGTAGATTGTAAATGTTCATCTTTTTATTAAATAGAACTGCCATGTAAACAGGTACTATAACTTACTTCTTGTGTCATTTTAGTACATACTGTTGTCTATATTTGAAGAGCAAGAAAATATGCCTAATTTATATATATATATAGTTTCCATTTTTTTCCTTTTTAAATCCAGAACTTCTTCATGCACAGTTTCAATCAATAAGATTAATGGGGGAAAGTCTTCCGACTGCGTTATTGAGGGCGGCACCTTTTTAGTTACGTGGAATTTGTTTTAAATTGACGAATCGTCGAAATGCTGCAGACCTAATTTAATGAGTGAGCCTCCAATGGGTCATTTAAGCCATCGTCTCCTTTGGAAGCCAAGAGCTTCTCACTATCCCTTAGTGCTAAATTGTTAACATTACCTACATTCTCCGCCCGCTGCTCTCCAGATGGTTTTTCTACCCCCACCTTGCCAGAAAATGAAACTTCAGAGTTTGGGTACAACCAGACACCCACTCCCCAAACTCCTGCAGCAATACAGCAAGGTGCCGCTGGGAATGACACACAAAAAGGTATCTGTTTATAATTCAGCTAGGGCAGCCTCTCCCATTGGTTGCAGAGTGGCACTCTGAGAATCCTCCCCAACCAATCGGATCAATGCATGCTGTTGCCTGTTAGGCTGGTTTTCTGAGTTGAGATCATGTACAGGTATGTGCTTTAAAAAGCAAGCACAATTTTGTGCCAGGATAAAGAAAAGCTAGAAATGTGCATAGTTCTACCTCCCTCCCTCCCTCCCCTTTCCCTCTGGCAATCTGATTCATTTCCTGAAATTTCAGTAGGTGTTAGCCACACATTCTCTTGCATCACGGGCAAGAGGCCTAGGCACCTCCTTTTTTTATATTAAAAAAAAAAGGAGAGGAGAGGAGCGGAAACAGGACTTGAATTTGTTTTCCATGTTCTCTGGCTTTTCTGTGCTTCCAGGAAATAGCAGGTGACACTCAGTCCTGATAGCAGCATGTTTAGTGCCCCCCATATCCAGTGAATTGTGTTTTTTGGGTTAACAATTTCTGAAGGCAGGGAGGGAGAGAGCACTTTGTGGCAAAGTTCGTGAGCCTCTCCCCATCCTCCCTCCAGCATCTTCTATGACACCTTTTCTGTAATGCCTCTGAAAGCTCTTGCTACCCAATCCCTCCAGCAGCTGCTTGGATGCCTTTTCGCTTTGAGAGAAGGTCCTTGCTAGTCCTGTTCAGAAAGGCCTTCTCTTTCTCTGTCTTCCTCCCAGTGGCAGCAGCAGTTCTTCTGAAGTGGTCTCTCTGGGCAAGCAGAAACCGGTCAGCAATTCTATCATGGTGGCGTAATTTTCTTTACAAAACGCACACCTCAGACATACCAGAATTAAGGCCTGTGTGGAAATCGCCTTCATGGCGCTCTGCCCATGCTCAGAGGCCCATCTTTATTTCAGCCTGCAGGGCTCAGCCCTGGTTCAAGCTTTGGGAGGAAGCCTGGGAAATATTGAGAGCTGTTTTCTGGATACAAGAAAGGCTATTATATATTGCAAGTGGGGGTGGGTGTTTGTGTGCGTCCTGTTTGCTGTTCTCGTCTTCGGACTTGGAGAGCCCAGCCTGCTCCTGTTTGCTCCACACCTTTTCATTTAAAAGCAGGAGGCAAGGTGTGTGGCTGTTGTATCTGGCTTACCACTGCAGTAGATGAGGTATGTTTGGCATGGCCCTGAAAGACTTGCTGTTCTTGTCTGTTGGATTCCTGTATTTTGTATCATTTAAAATGCATTTTAGCTGTAAGTGTTGGTCTCAAGTGCTTACGAGTTGTTGATCTGCTAAAATCTCACAATTCCTAGACTGAAAACTTCATTAAACAAGTTTCGGTGCAGTTTAATTGATTTTTCCAAATATGCTGAGGAATGGCTTTTAAATTAAAATGGCTTTTAATTGCCATATTAAAACATCTTAATTGAGATGCTGCCACCAGCCTCTTGGGTTTATTAACTTTCCATTCCAATGCCTGCATTTAGGTTCATACCAAAAGCAGAGCCTTGGCTAGGAAGATATGTATACCTCTGCACATAGACTTTTTCATGCCTGCCATAGCAGGCAGGCAATCCATTATCCTCCTGGTGAGAAGCCCATCATGATCGCCAAGTGACAGGAGTCCCACAATCCTTTGCGCTGGACATTAACACTGCCTCCCTTCCCCTTACGCTGCTCTCCAGAGGACTTTCTCACCCCCACCATGCCAGGCAATGAAACTTCAGGGTTTGGGTACAACCAGACAGCAGAAGGTATGTCGGGAAGTCACCTGCTGAAAGGTATATTTTTCTTCTGCTGCTGAAGCAGCTTCTCCCATTGGTGTAGGGAAACCCCTAGGGGCGGTCCCCATCCACCAATTGGACAGACGCATGCCTCTTAGCATTTATGCAGACTGGCCAAACCAGAAGGCAAACATCAGAGCTATGTGAGCTCTTTGAAATGCAACAAAAAGTGGGATGTGGTTTTTTGCAAGGAGAAGAAAATGCCCTGTGAATGTGCATGATAATTCCTTTTGAGGCTGCATTCCTGGCCATCCCATTCAGCTCCTGAGGTTCCAGCAGGCCTTGGTCAGTTGCTGACACAGAATGCCCACAGTCTTCAGGGCTAAGAACCTGCTTTCCGGTAGAAACAGGAGCTGAATCTGATTTCCATGTTCTGTTGCTTTTCTGTGCTTCCAGGATATTGAAGGCAACACCTTGTCCTGATAGGAGCATATCCAGTGAATTGTTTTGTGGGGTAGCCTTTCTGTAGGCCAGGGAGAGAGAGAACACGTTTTGACAAAGTCCAGGAGCCTCTCCCCATCCTCTCTCCAGCATCTTCTCTGATACTGCACTGTTTCCTTGATGCTCTTGCTGCTTGGGTTCCCTTTGAGAAGGTCCTTGCTAGTCCTGTTCAGAAAGGTCTTCTCTCTCTCTCTTCCTCCCAATGGCAGCAGCAGTTCTTCTTCTGAATTGGTCTCTGTGAGCAAGCAGAAACAGGCAGCAATACAATGATGGTAGGGTAGTTTTCTTTACAAAATACACAAAATACCAGAATTAAGGCCTGTGTGGCAATTCATGACGCTCTGCCCATGCTCAGAGGCCCATCTTTATTTCAACCTGCAGGGCTCAGCCCCGGGTCAAGCTAAGCTTTGGGAGGAAGCCAGGAAAATATTGAGAGCTGTTTTCTGGATATGAGAAAGGTGATTATATATTGAGACTGGGGGGGTGGTGTATGTACATATGCGTTCTGCTTGCTGTTTTTGTCTTTGGGGCTTGGAAAGCCAAGCCAGTTCCCATGTGCTCCACACATTTCATTTAAAAGCAGGAGGCAAGGTGTGTGGCTGTTGTGTCTGGCATACCACTCTGGGAATGGATTGCCATAGATGAGGTACGTTTGGCATTACCCGCAAAACTGTTGTCGTTTACGTCTGTCAGACTACCGTACTTCATAACAGTTTAAATGCATTTTTGGCCTTTAGTATTTGTCCCTAGTGCTTATGAATTGCTGATTTGCTAAAAACTCACAATTCTTAGACTGAAAGCTTCATTAGCTTCAGTGCTATTTAATTGATTTTTCAACTGAGCTGAGGAATTGTTTTTCAATTAGAATGGCTTTTAATTGCTGCATTGACAACGTCACTCGCATAATTGAGATGCTGCCACCAGCCTCATGGGTTTATTAACCCTCCATTCCAACATCCTGCAAGAGGTTCATACTAAAAGCAGAGCCCTGGCTAGGAACGTTTGTGTGCTATATTGCCTATAGACTCTTTCACGCCTGCCATAGGGGGTAGGGCAAGAAATTGTCCTCCGGGTGAGAAGCGCAACATGATCCGGCAAATGACAGGAGTCCCACAGTCCTCTGTGCTGGACATTAACACTGCCTCCCTTCCCCTTACGCTGCTCTCCAGAGGACTTTCTCACCCCCACCATGCCAGGGAATGAAACCTCATGGTTTGGGTTCAACCAGACAGCAGAAGGTATGTTGGGAAGTCACCTGCTGAAAGGTATATTTTTCTTCCGCTGCTGAAGCAGCTTCTCCCATTGGTGTGGGGCAACCCCAAGGGCCGGTCCCCATCCACCAATTGGACAGGCGCATGCTCTCGCTGACTGTTAGCATTTATGCAGACTGGTCAAACTCACAGGGAAACGCCAGAGCTACGTGAACACTTTGAAAAGCTGCAACAAAAAGTGGAATGTGGGTTTTTTTTGCAGGAAGAGGAACGTTGATCTGTGAATGTGCTTGATTCTGCCCCTCCACCCCGGCAATCTCATTCAGCTCCTGAGGTTTCAGCAACCAGATGCTCTCACAAAATGCCTACAGTCTTGAAGGGCTAGGGAGCTGCTTTCCTAAAGCAACAGGAGCCGAATTGGATTTCTGTGCCCTGCAGCTTTTCTGCGCTTCCAGTAAATCTCAGATGATGTGCAGCCCTGCGTGTAGCACATCATTCCAATCCTGCCCCCCCCCAATGTCATACATTATGGGGTAGCTCTGTTGGGAGATGGGGCAGGGTGGAAAAATCAGCTTTGCTACAGCAACCAGGAGCCGCCGCCCCCCTCCAGCACCTTCCGTGATATTGTGTTATTTCTTATTCTGCATCTGAAAGTTGTTTCCACTACCACCCGTTCAGGTTGCTTTTGCATTTAAGCAGGCCTTTGTTGGGCCCCTGAGAAAAGCCCCCTCTCCGTGTGTGTGTGTGTGTGTGTGTGTGTGTGTCAAAAACAGTTGCAGTTCTTCCACAGCAGCCTGTAGGCAGCAAAGGAAATATTAGGGGAGGACACTGGGAGCAGTTTAGCTGGGCAGCTGTGCTTAAATTTCTTTCTCTCTCTCTCTCCTCCAAAATGAGATAAGCCAGAACTCAGGCTGGTGTGGAAGTTGCTTGCATAGCCCTCTGTACGTGCTCAGAGCCAAACTTTTCCTTCCGATTTGCAGGGCTTGGCCTCTGCTGAAACTGAACCTGGAGAGAATATCAGGGGATGCTTTGGGGATTCAAGGAGGGGGTGTGCTGTGGGGCAGGGCGTGGTGGCAGTGCTGGTTTCTGGCTGACGTCCTCTTCTTGGGGAATCCAGCCCTGTCCTGCTTTGGCAGGGGTTGGGGCGGGTTGTAGCTGACTGGTGGAAGTGGGATGCTGTAGAGGGGAAATGTTTGGCATAACCCTGCAAAACTGATGTTTGTGTCCTTTTATCAAATGGACCTCCCATGGATCCAGGTACTATATCTCATTTTTGTTTATTTTAGGCTACACTCTTGCTCTATATAGTGAAAATACAATAAAATATGTGTAATTTAATATGTAAATATGTATATAAATTTTCTTTTGAAATCTAGACGTTGCTCAATGTGCGAATTCATTGCCTATTGTGGTGGAGATTGTTGATACAGATTTTAGATGTTTTAGCGGTTTTTGTTTCTACTGATTGCCCATTGTTATGTTTTCTGATGTTGTAGTCTACCCTGTAATCTAAGGTGGTGTGTGTTTGAATAAGTCAATACAATAACTTTAGTCAGTAGATCAGTTTGATGATTCCTAGATTTAAAACTTCATTGATCAGCTTGTCGTACTGTTAACTTTTGGCGGGGCGGGGCATGGGAAGTAATCTGCTTACTGGGGAACTGAATACCTTTGTATGGACTCATTTTAACACCTGCCGCTCCAGCCAGGGGGTGATGGGTAGGGGGCATGTGAGCCATCCTCTCCTTTGGAAGCCAAGAGCTTCCCAGCCTCCTTAGCACTAAATGTTAACATTTGCCTGCATTCTCCACCCGCCGCTGCCCAGATGACTTTTCCAACACCACCTTGCCAGGGAACGAAACTTCCGAGTTTGGGTACAACCAGACATCAACTTCCCAAACTCCTGGAAGGGCTGAGGAAGGTATCCTTTCTACTTCCGCTCTAGCCGCCTCTCCCATTGGTTAGGGGGGCCTCATCCTGAGGGGCTTCCTCAGCCAATCGGACCAACGCTTGCTCTTGCTGCCTGTTAGCATTTTGCTGGCTGGTCTTCTTGACTCCAAACTCAGAGACAGTAGCCAGGGCTGTGTGCGCTTTGAAAAACACAACCCAAAATTAAAAGTTTTGTGCTACCGGCAGGGGCGGGGGAAGAGAAGCTGCGCCAGTGTGCATGATGGTCTTATTTGTTTCTTTCTTTGCTAGTCTTCAGGAGCTGTAAGTCAGCTGCCCTCCTGCCCCTCTGGGAATCTAAGTCAGTTCCTGAGGTTGGAGCAGGTGTTGGCTAATTGCCAAGAAGACTAGGAACCTGCTTTCTTTTCCTTTTAAAAAAGAAGCAAGCTGAATTTGAGTTCCGTGTTGTGCTGCTCCTCTGTGTTTCCAGAAACAGCAACATACGGAGCCTCGCCATGCAAAGCATTATGGGGCATAGCTTTGCAAGGAAGGAGTGGCAGTCTTGCCATAAGATCCAGGAGCCTTCCACTCCCTCCATCTCCTTCTGAGATGTATTGGAGACTTCCCCAATTTGGTGCCCTTCAACCATTTTGGACTCCCAACAGATTCCCAGCAGCCAGCCTGACCAGCGATCAGGGATGATGGGAATTGTAGTCCCAAAACATCTGCTGCCAGAACCCTCCAGCAACTGCTTGGGTGGCCTTTGCATTTGAGCAGGTCCTTGCTTTAGATCTGCCCAGAAATGCCTTTTCTCTCTCTTCCTCCCAATGGCAGTCCTTCCAAAGCGGTGAGCGGAAATAGCAGCAGTGCCGTAATCTTCTTCACAGAACAGTGAAGTGATGCCTGCACGAATTGTGCCTTCGTTGCCCTCTGCCCATGCTCAGAGAGACCCATCTCTATTTCAACCTGCAAGGGCTCAGTCCTGGTTCAAGCTACACTTTGGGAGGAAGCCAGGGAAATAATGAGAGCTGCTTTGTGGCTGCAAGAAGGGTGATTCTGTTTGGATTTTCTTTCCTCCTCCCCCCCCCTCCCCGAGCAGAGCAGACAGCACAGGAGAGCAAAGGTGTGATCATTGTGGCCGTTGTCATCTGCATCCTGGTGATTGCTGTCCTGGGCGCCGTCCTTTACTTCCTGCACAAGAAAGGGAAGCTCACCTGTGGCCGCTCAGGCAAACAAGAGATGTAAGCATACACAGCTTTCCTTGCAGCCTTTTGGGTGCCTCCCTCCTTCCCTCTCATCCATCTACCAGAGACCACGCTTCTTCCCTTCCTGCCCCCTCCCAGTCTCCTTGCACCAAGCAGCGCGCTTCTTCTGATCCCATGGGAGGGAGGAAGTTGGGGTGGACCTTGAACTGCTGTTGCCCACTAGGCCCTTTGCAAGGTCATTTCCCACTCAGCAGCCTTAGCAGGGCAGCAGCTCCTCTGACACACAAAGCTTGATCGGTGATGGCTGCAGGCAGAAGACATTACGCCTTTCTGACTTCTGTCCCACCCAAGTCACTGGTCAAATAGTGCTTTGCAAGCTTTAGAAAGGTAGAAGGACCCCTGACCATTAGGTCCAGTCGTGGCCGACTCTGGGGTTGCAGTGCTCATCTCGCTTTATTGGCCGAGGGAACCGGCGTACAGCTTCCGGGTCATGTGGCCAGCATGACTAAGCCGCTTCTGGCGAACCAGAGCAGCGCACGGAAACGCCGTTTACCTTCCAACCGGAGCGGTACCTATTTATCTACTTGCACTTTGTTGTGCTTTCGAACTGCTAGGTTGGCAGGAGCAGGGACCAAGCAACGGGAGCTCACCCCGTCACAGGGATTTGAACCGCCAACCTTCTGATCGGCAAGTCCTAGGCTCTGTGGTTTAACCCACAGCGCCACCCGCGTCCCTCGCAAGCTTTATAAGTGCCTCCAAAGCTGGCCAGAGACTTCAGCGGGGACAAGGTCTGTGATGGGGTTCCTTTCCACTCCCTTGAAGTACTTGCCTAGTTCAAGCCTCTGCTGGACCCAGAGGAGCTGAATGATGAGCCCCCCAGGAATTGCTGTTCTTTCTCGGCCTGCAGCCCACCCACTCCGCAGGGATGCGTCTCAACACTGTTACCCTCCCTCCTCCCTAGCACAAAGCCCGAAGCGCATAAAGACGAGATTGTAGTTGAAGTTAAGTCAGATAAACTTCCTGAAGAGGCGGGGCTCCTGCAGGGCGCCAACGGCGAGAAGAGATCGGCAGGTGACCAGGTAGGCCAGTTCGCCATGACTAGCAGCGGCGGCTTGCAGAGGTGATGCTTCAGAGGACCCAGATATGGTGTATGCGTTGTTTTTGATGCAGTGTGTCATCCTTCCCCAAATCCACCTTCTTGGGTTGCACAAATGGCTGTGGGCCCGTGCTATCCATTCATTTTAAAGAAAAAAATGATTTGGGGGGGGGGTTGTTTGTAACCCATGGTGTTGATTGGCCCAGCTGCTATGCCCTTCTGCCCCCCACTCCCACTCCTGAATGTGCTGTCGTTACGTTAGGAAGCCCACCACTGCTTCATAAACTGATAGTGAACTGAACAGGGGAAGCTTAGCATTTTCCACTGCTGAGACGTCCAAGCAGGAAGAGCCTGTCTCTGTGTGTAAGGGGTACAGCTCTTGCTTTTCCCCCATGCCTTTTAGCATGGGCCAAAAGTGGGTTTCTTAGTGTCAGCAGATGCCCCTCTGCCCCTCCCCTTAGGTCTCCCTGATCCAGCAACTTCAGCCCCTGCTGCTCCCTGCGTTTGGCAGGTGCCCCTCCTGCCAGCTTCCCATCAAGCAGCTTTTTGTGCTCCATGTGGACAGTGTGCATGCAGCCCCATTCTCTCTTCCCCCCAGCTTTTCTCTAGCAACCACCTATGGGAGGGCTTTTCCTGCCTCTCTCCTGCCATCTAGCCAGAGGAGCTTCTCTATTGCAATACAGAAAAATGGTCCTGCATGTGCTTTTTATTTTTTTACTGTGCCTCCAAGCCAGTCACGCAATCTCATTCAAAACGGCTGCCATCATCTTACCTCGGCTACCTCACACCGTGGGACAACAGAAGTGGGTGTGCTTGTATTTTACTGGGCCATAATCGCAATGTAACTCTGTTTTTTTCTTTTGCTGCTTTAAAAAGGGAGAGAAATACATCGATTTGAGGAACTGAGAAAGGAGAGACAGCTGTGCCCCTTCGAAGATTTCTCCTGTTCCTTCTCGATGCCTCCACCCCTCTTGCTCCCCCGGTCATAGTCTTTCAGACGCACAGCAGCAGCAAATAAGGCACAAGATGACTCCACAGCAAATAATATTTTGCAACCTCACCCTCAGGTTTTTGAAGGACAAAGCAAATGAAGCAAATCAGCAGTTTTCAGACCAAAAAAAGGGGAGTCTTAGTTTAAAAATGACTCCCTTTAGAGGATCTACGTTAAGGAGGGGTTTTTGAGCGGGGGCAGGTAGAGGAACATGTAGTCTACCATAATTGTATGGGGCTTCAGTCAATTTGTAAAAGAAAAAATATAACAGCCAAGCGTTTGCTGAGCTGAATTGGTTGGAGATTTTTTTTTTTTTTAATTGAGACTTGGTAAATTGGAGAAGAAAACTTAAAAATCTTACCTTTTAGACAGGATTGGAGAATGGTGAGTGTGTGATGGATTTGGCTCCATCTGGCATGTAGAATACTTGTGGAAAGCCAGCGTTGCCTCAGCTGTTCCTTGAACTGTTGCTGTTCTTCGCAGCAAGGTGCTGAAGGAATCAGCTGCGCTTCAGAAGCCCTAGGCCTCAAAACGGCAGAGGGTGGGGTGGGAATGGAGCTAAGAAGTCTTAAGGACACTCACTAGGGACTGAGTTTCATTGAAGTCAGTGCTGCTTACTTCCAATTTAATATAAAGGATAACTGTACAGAGAGGTGGTTCTCTCTGCACTTCAGATGTTATGATAGGAATAAAGTCTCTTTTTTGTACAAACACTGTATAGTCACACTTGTTTTTACCCGAGAACGTAGGTTATTGTCCCTTCTGCTCCCCCCCCCCAAAAAAAAACCTTTCTGCAGATCTTCTGGGTTACCTTGCTGCAGGTGACCCACTTGCCAGTCTTTGGAAGTCCTGCCTCTCCTTAGGCCACAGGAGCAAAAACAAGGCACTAAAATAGGATGTTAAGCACATGAGGTAGTTTTCTACAATTATTTTGGGTTTTATTTCAGTGTGGCACCAAGGAACCTGCTCTGTTAGCACAAGGATTTATGCTTCCTACCTGGTGGTTCCCCCCCCCCCCCAAAAATCTGTTTTCTCAACCCTCCAGAGCAGGGGGCAAGGAAGAGAGAAGTGTAAATTCTTGTGCTAACAGATCGAGTGCATTGGAATTCATCTTTAATTGCTCTGCTCTGATAGCAGCAGCAGCAGGTGACACACGGAGAATGTGAAGGAAGCTGGTGCCTGTACCAAAATGAGATTGTCATGCAGCCTTCAAAGCCGGTGCTGATGACAACGCTCTTCGTCTTTAAACATGCCAGGAAGTATTACAGGATGCCGTACTTCACCATGCTGGTCCAGTGCCTAAGAAAAGCTTTCTGCTTCTCTGTCCACACCCCAGACTTCTAAATGGACACCAGACAGAAATACTGTAGCTAGCTGCTTCCGTACGGAATTACTTCCTGCAGAGTTCGGTTTTCCATTCCCCTCAAAGCCTCTCAGAAGTGAACAGCTTTCAACACAAGCTGGGTAAAACAGTTAAGGTTTTGCTTTAGACACTCTTTGTTTTCCGAGTGGTTAAAAAGTGCAAACTCATCAACCAAAAACGGGGGGAAGAAAGGGGTGTTGCGCTTTCCGTGTAAGCTATAAAATTAGCAAACAAAAAAAAATGCTTTTGTTATATATTTTTGTTGATGTGTGTAAATTTAAGAGTGTCTGAGTTGCAGGGTTTATATATATATATATATATGTATATGAAAAATAAAAAGCTAAAGTCTTCAAGCATTGGCTCTTTCCTAATGAATGGAATACATGGCAAGGAGAAAATATCAGTCACTGTAAAGCACTTGAAGGTTTAAAAAACCTGATTCACACAGCATGGATTAGCAGGTAACATGACGTATTGTGTCTAAAAATTCTTGCTGAACATTAGTTCAGTTTAAACATACATCTTCCCCTCTCCACTTCTATCAATGTAAGCAATGTTTGCCTGGCATTTCTGTATAGGTGGGTGGGAGTTCTGTCACAATCGTAAGTGAAACCAGGTTCTGTGGGCAAGGGAAGGAATTGTAATCCTCTCATGCTGGTGGGGGCATAGGAAAAATTGCAGAAGGCATTGGGTCCTGCCCACAAACACTGTCCCAATGAAAGCCTTATCTTTCATTGACTTAAGGGTGCCAGCTTACAGAAAAGGCAAAGGTCACTAGAATGCCGGAGTTTAGTCCTCATTTCTGCAGTACTTCATATGCTGTTAAACTTGCAAGGGGGTAGACTAGATTACTCTCAGGGTCCCTTCCAACTCTACAATTCTATGATTCCCAACAGGATGGGAGTCATTGTCCAACATCATCTGGGGGATCACAGGTTTCCAAACCACATGATAATATTTTTTTGAGCACTTAAAATATACCAAATCATACAACCCACACCTAGAAGCAGAGCTCTGACTTGGATGGAATGTGAGCAGAGATCCTAAGCAAGAAGCATCAGTTCCAGGGAGACAGCCAGAGTCTACACTTTTGTGAAGTTTGAGTACACGTAAAACTTACTAGGATAAGAGGCCCAATTTCACTGGAGTTGCAAATGACACAACAGAAGCAATATGCTACAACAAAGAAATTTATTTAAAAATAAAACTTTGTTTTTTTATTTTACTGACACACATGAAATACCCTAAATCCTCCACAAGCTCTTTCGTGGGCAGCTTACAAGAATGAAAAATAAAAAATAAATAACATTAGTATAACCTCTAAAAACATTAACAATGCATTTTGCAGAACAAAATGAGGACTTTAGACCAAATGAACCTTAAAGCTCAGCTACTCTGTAAGAATATTTACCTTCTGTTCTTATTCTTTACAGGTCTGAAAGGATTAAATACTGCTAATATATTTTTTATATTAATGACATTATTATAACTTTTAAAATAGTCAGTGAAAATCTGAATTCATTTATTTTTTAACACTGATATTAAAATTGGTTCTCAACCTTCAGGAGAAATAAAGCTACTAATAACCTCTCTCTCCCACTCAAAGGTAATTTATCCATTAAGCATTTCAGCTTTCCTAGCCCCCACCCCCACCCCCCGCCTTGCAGTTTTAGTCACGAGAGCAGCGGTTGTACATCAGTGAGCTAACAGGGCCGCCGATGGCAAGTCGCACTGCTCCGAAATTGGCTACTAGAAGTGACATTCGTAAAGCTGCACACCCATACCCCAAATGCATACGCAGCTCTAAGATGGGGGAGGCAGCATTTGCAAAACGGACGCTGCAAATTGAACAGGCACTGGACATTTAATACTTCAGGGCAAAATCCACAGGAAACTCCTTGCAAAACTATGTGGGGGAATCGACTGGAGCCTCAACAGAAGATCCCAGAAGATTGCACTCCATCCCCGCACACAGAGAGGTTCGGAAGTTGACAGGAAACTTGGCACATGTGCCTGGAGGTGCAGCTGTATTGTGCTTCCAGTCTTAAGCCTCATTTGTTTTTAAAAACAAAAAGGACGGGGACGGGAGGCGACAATTTGGGATATTTTGGGTGACCCACACTGGTTGTGTCAAAATCCTGCATCAGAGTTGCGCTATTACTGCCTTCAAGCTTAGGGCAGCCAGCAATACGAACAACTCCCCAACACTAAGGACTAAGGTAGAGAAAACCTGTTCAGGCTGAACAACACACACACAAAAACAAACACACCACTATGTTAGCTTTGGGGCGACAGCTTTCTCCTTCCAAGGAGCAGCTCCATGGATTTCCCTGGTCAAGTTTTAAAATCTGTCTCTTCTTCAGATGCAAGATTGGAGATAGAGCATTTCCCCCATCAAAAGGCACTATACATTTGGCTTTAAGTAAAATAAGTCAACCTTTTTTTCTTTTTTTTTAAAGATTAAGAGACACGGGGGGAAACATAATAAGGTAAAAAAATTTAAAAGCAGCAGGGAACACACCCCGGGAGGCGTTTTTTGCTCTGCCTCCCTTGTGCTTGCAAACAAAGACATTCATGTGGTTCGAGGAGAAAGAGCCACTTTAAAAGTTCTCATGTAAATGTAAGACACAAGAAGTGGACAAAAAGGAGACATGCAGTAAAGTCCAGTCAGCTATAGTATGTGGAGTGTTCCTGTCAGGCAGAAGGCGTCCCGAAACGAGCATGGCCCTGCTCAGGGCGTGGAGAGCATCTGCAGAGGCCCATCTGCAAAGGCAAGTTGGTGCTGCCGCTTTGCACAAAGGTGGAGATTAAGGCTGACTGCCACCGAGTTTCCAGTGCTATGCCAACAGCTTCTCCGGCAGACTAGGAAATCAGCTTTGCAAAGAGCTAGTCCTCACCAAACTAGTCTCCCAAACTGATGTGGAGTTCGTGGCCCGGATGTGGGAAGAAATATCCAAGAGGAGCGTCCAGTGGTTGCTCCAACATTTCACACTCTGAAATTGCACAGCCCCCTTGGTTCCTAAACTGCCTGGCCACAACTCTACTCTGCAGTTGTTGCAAAGGCCCTCTGCTCACCTGCTCCTAAATGCTATCAAGTTATTCAAAATGCACTCTAGCCGAGACCTCCTAGGTAATAATCTTCACAGTGTTTCACATGAAAGCAGCAAGATCAGACCGACATTGCCACTGCCCGTCCCATGTATAGAGGGGGCTTCTGAAGCCTCTGTGAGGTGTTGGCAACTGACAACTCTTTCTCTGGGCAGCAAGAGAAGGGCCACAGCTGCCAGGTCAACAATTCTGCTTTTGGACCACTGCAGGCAACAGCAAACTCCTGCCAGTCTTCAAATCTTCATAGTGTGTCATTCAAACAGCACTGCTGACAACAAAGTGCCAGCTAGGTGCATCCACGGTACCTGCACAACCTGGTGCCATCTCTGACGTCCTCTGCAGTTATTCCCCAGGGATCCAAGCGCTCGTGGACAAGCAAGGCTGCCCATTTAGAGAGAAACACAAGATAAGCAGCCTCTTTCTATGCCCCCCCTCTTCTGGGGGGGGGAAAGTCTTAGTATCCTTATCTGGGGCAGAGGAACCAGGCCTATTTAAACAGGGCAACTGCAGGGAAAACCAAACATGCAACTTGTTTTGAGATACAAATTTTCACATGACTAATGCTGTAATTGGGGAGACTGTAGTGAAGGCTTGAGGAAGAGGATGGAAGAGGGAAGGTGTCCTCTAAATTCAGGTTGCCTGCTGTCCATCAGCCAGACGGCGGCCATCAAGGTCCAAATTCATCTTTCTAAACCTCCATTAGCCTGCCCAAACAAGGGCAACATTCAGAAGCCACACTCTTCTTTTCCTCCCCTCCCGTTACGGTTTCTTTCGACTTGTTTGTCAAAAGATCCTGAACTTTAAAAAGAAAAATGCAACAAGCAGAGCGAAGGAGGCGGGGGGTGGGGAATCATCCCCTTTCACAAAAGCCCTGCAGGGAGTTGTTGCATTTTGACTGCTGAGCTGGTCAAAAATTATTTCCACAGATGCTGGATGCAGCTGCCCACATCAATGCATAAGTAATCCAGCACAGTTAACTCTCATCCACAGGAAGTGAAAGGAAATAATGGATCCGATGGCCACGGGACTTGTAGATGCTACGAAGATGACATGCCACGTTGACCAAGCAGCGGCTCTGGGTGTGTTAAAGGGCAGCTGCTCCAGTCCTCAGCAGCCTCGATTACGTAAAAGCAGGACAGCACAGAATGCTTGGAGCTGGGGGGGCACGCAGCTACATCCAATCATCGCAGCAGCCCGAGCACAGGCGAGAAGTCTTGCATCCCCAATGCCTTAAAATCCAGTGTGCGTCAGGTTAATGCTGGCAACAGGAGAAGCCTGACTCAGACCAAGGAGGAGCCAGAAATGACTGGAGATGTAGAAAGGGAACAAGGAGAACATTTGGGGGAGTTGTGGGGGGAGAGAGGGAGGGTGTTGTAACAGAAGGAAGCTACCAAAACCACTTCCTTAGTCGAGAATCTGTACCCGGTAGCAGGTGGTCTAAAAAGCCTGAGCCAAAACATACAGCAGCAAAGAGGCCCCGATTCAGTACCCTGAACCACAGGAGGGCACGCCACAAGAAAGGTGGAGACGCCATTCGACAGACTGGCATCCCCTTTTAATTCACAGCACGACACAAGACACCCCGGCAAACGCCCTTCCGCTCCCGCCCCCTTGTCCACCAGCACAGGAACCAAGAGGTCTTTCCAAAGCGACACAACCGCCCCCTCCAACGAGGACGTGCGGGAGGGAGGGGCCAAGAGGGGAGGGACTCCAAAAGACACACAGACTGGAGAGGACGCACCTATCTGCTCCGTTTCGTTCCTTTTGCTTGGAAACCTGGAATCGCATGAAACCCTGATGACCGATTACTCTCTGTCGAGGCAAGCCTGCCTTCGCAGGAAGTCTCTCGCGGAGCCCGTTGCCTCCTCTAGGTAGAAGCTGGGCAGGAGACTGCCCAGGCAGGTTGGATGCGCAGGGGTGTCCCAGGCAGGGCCAAGGGGATGTGTGCTATGTGGCTAGGTGAGCGGGGGAGGAGACGGAGACAAACTCCCGCAGAATATTTTTGGCCATGTCGATATTGTTATGGGCAATGACGAGGGCTTTCTGGATGTCCTGATATGAGTAGCCTTGGCTCATGAGGTTCTCGATCTCGCTGGAGAGCTGCGGGGAGGGAGCAGGGGCCG